TGGCAATCTCATTCCGAGTAAAATGCTTACATTATCTCAATTCAATGCTAGTTGTGAGTCATGTAAATAAGCTGCTCACCTGGAATATATAATGATGGGAACAAGTGCTGAGAGTCAAGAAAGCCCTCAGTTCATGTTTTGCTCTAGCCAAAACAAAAATGCCAGCAGCATTTAAGAAGACATACAATTGAATCCATGTCAACAGGGCACCTAAAGAAGAATAATAATCTATGCTACAGCTCAGTGCCATACCAAGGCTTCTACATGACTTCTGGACTACTGGTGACAGGCCTTGGAAGGCTGAAGGATGCATGGCTCTTAGACCCACTTTGGAGCAGCACAAACAAAAACAGGTGAGCACTGGCTTCTCAGCAGTCCCAGGAGTTTCAGAGAGTGTAGGAGACCAAAACTGTCTTAGTTCTTTGAAAACAGTAATCAAAAAAGGGTGAACATATGGTTGCATAAATTCAGACAATTCCCCATAATTTGATAAGGGAGGTTACTGACATAAAGTGCTGTTTGTATTGCATGAAACATGTAGTATACCATGACCTCAAACAAATTCTTACCTGTAGCATATCATTTTAATGCTCATGATTGTATAAATGTTTATTTATATTATTGTAATTTCCCACTGCTTTCAGTTGTCAGTTGAATTATACAACTGATAATCAATAAAATTCCATTGTTATAGATAGCCAGTGGAGTCACTTGGCCTTTACAAATGCAGTATGATTCTTTGTGCAAATGCAAAACTCACTCTTTCTTGGCAAGGAGGTTGACACAAATATTGACATTCTGAGGTCCATCTTAAGCATTTACATGCAGTACACCAAATACCAACACATCATAAGCCTGTAATCTAACACAATACATTTTAAGTTGTAATATCAGTCATTCAGTAAAACCATCACTACTATGCTAAGTATCATTTCATAGCTTGTTATGGACCTGAGTAACTCACATGTGATTTAAAGCTGCATATTTTTTCTAAATAGAACAGAAATATGAGCTTGATGTTTAGATACAGAATAAATATGGTCAAAAGTAGAATATTTGTACAGAACTAAACTATAGGTAAAATTATGTACAAGCTTAGGAGAATTGCAATGAAAAATGGAAGCAATACATGTCACTATATTGTAGTAACTGAATTATAAAACCATTTTATTGCTCATCAAAAGAAAATGAAGAGAAACAAAAGAATCAGGGGGAGGGATAGGATGGAAATGAAGCAATTGAGTGTTTTACATTAGTTGCTGTGTAATCTTAGTTATATTGCCATTCATCATAAAATCTGGGAGTTACTAAACTTGTGATGAGGTACAACCTATATATGAAAATGACTGTGCTATTAGACCTCCTACACAGCATGGAGAAGGCAGACAAAATTTCTGATGGCAAAGCATTTGTTTTCTCTGAAATCAAACAAGTGTTCTGAATAATACATTCAATCACTCTAACAGCGACCACCACATTTAAGATTTGCTTTCCCCATGTCTTTCCACCAGCACAGCTGCAGCATGCTTATTGCTATAGTTACATACAGGTAGGAGATTTCCAGAAAACAAACCAACAAAACCTGGTACTTCTGAAGAGACAGAAAGTTTATCAGAAAATAAATGAATGCCAGTACAATTAAAACTCTCTGCTTCTTTATAAAATTAGGCTTAGCATTTTCAAAAACGCTACAAAAGCTCTGGGATTTATGTTCTGCTTTGTGTCAGCTGGTTCTGCACATGCATGTATGACCTCAAATAATGACAGACATTTGTAAACACGGTGACATCTGCACAACTTTGTTCTGCCTTTCTATAGGAGGCAGTGACAGCTTTGTAAATATCGACACTGCTTCTATAAAAACTCTGTCAGGAAATTATCTGGAGTATTTCAAGCTATACATGCAGCTAAGTGACAAACGACAGGTACATCCAGTGAGATGCTACTGGATTTTGTACAGTGTGCCCACTTGGAAAGGCTGCCTCACCTCTCTCTCCTCTGTCTACAGTAAGACTCTGGCCTGTCACTGTTCTTTCCTTGAGGCATCTCATTTTGTAGGGACATTGATACTTTTTTTCCCCAGAATCTCACATAACACCTATGAAAAGAAACAGGTGGTGCTTCAGCCACTTACACACTTCTGAGCAAATCACATATTAAAACTTCCTAATGTATTTATTGGTTATGTTTACAGCTGAAGATAAATTCATGGTGTAATTACTCTGAATCCCCAAATCACTTTTGTTACTGACCTTACCTAACTCTAAAGGAATTCAAATTATAATGAAAGACTGAAATGAGTGTGAATGAATCCAATGCAAAGCTTCACTTTTGTCTCATCTTTCCATCACTCTCCTACTACTTATATTCTCACATGTTATAAATATGCATCACAGCCGTTTTCAGTTCATATGTTTGATAATGTAGCTTTAACATAGTCAATAATGGTTGATGACATGGTCCAATACTGACATATTTTCAGTTACAGGCAAGTGTATTTTGTATACACGTAAATCCTTTCTGTTCCTTTGAACAGATATACACTACTATATGCAAAGAGGAAGCACTGTGGTTATCAAAACATAGCAGTGTAATCTCACAAAAAAGGAAAAATTTAGTAAAAATAGTAAATGTGAAAAGAAAAATGTAGTAGGCTGATTTGATGATAGGTGACTGGTGTTTATGTACATGTATGCACATGGTGTTTATGTGTTCATGTAGTACATTGTTACACATTAAATGTAGCTAGTATAACCAATGTCATTTTTTGTGAATATAACTGTTAAGCCTTTAAAAAATAAAAATAAAAATAAAAAATGCCCAACCATTGCATGATATTTTTTTCTAAAATCTGCTTTCCATATCAACTGTTAATCATTTATTCACATTTACATGCTTTCGCCCTTTTAAACAACAACAAAAAAAACCTTTACTGATATATATATTATTCTGTGTATAGAGTAAGCTAGAAAAAAATAATCCTTAATAATAACAAAAATGATCAAAAATGTCAAGATTTGGTTGCTACAAAATGTCACTTCAAGGTAACTCCAACAAAAACATCATTATGTAATGAAGTATTCATAATAAGGAATAAGGAAGTCATATGTACAAGGTACTGTTAAGAAAAACGCAAAAAAGATCAACCAAAGAAGAAACAAAACAATCCTGTAAGAAATAAATAAACCAGGTTTTAGTCTACTTCCTTAAAACTTCCTAAGCAAGAAGATTTACGTGTTCAGAACACTCATAACCCTTTAATATTTTGCTGGTGATAGCTAAGTAAGTAGTGTCTCCAGAAAGTCTGATGTGAGTAAGGAGACTCTACAGGACTGCAACTACAGGCTTTGCATCACATGTACTTTCTAGGTTTGGAAACACTACATCAGACAAGACAGCAAGATACATGGAAGTTTGTTTCTAGTTTGAATAGTTAGCGAAGTACTATGACACAAATTGGCTTTCTGATATTTACCAAGAGTTGGCACACCCTGACACGGACTTAGGATAAACAGAACTATATCATTACTCCATAACACAGATTTACTAACATTAAAAAACCAACTTCTTATCATAAGAATGTATGGACATGATGTCTGCACGTATCCTCATAGCAAAACATGGCGTTTAATTATACAGGAAAAAATCTTGACCCTACTTCACATGTTCCCTGCAGAAATAAGGAAGTAAATATAGCTGCCATTGTTCACATCAAAAAGTAAAACTGAGTAACAAAATCTGAGATAAAACCCACACTTCACTTTGGCGTTCATTTTTCATTGTTCCTTTCTCCAATTCTTGTCTCAGACACAATCAAAGTTATTAGCTTACAAGAAAAATCTCAGGGCAAAAGTGACCACCTGATAGCAGAGACTTGCTGAAGTCAGTTGGGATTTAAAACTTACATGGAGCTGTGTATGGGCCCTGGACAGATTATCTCCAGATAATTTCTGTTGAACAACATTATGTGGGGTTTTTTTTTGTTTTGTTTTGTTTTTTTTTTCCTGTTCCTGGTGGTTTAAACTACAATTCTTTGAGAACAGATAAATGCATACCTCAAAACATGGTTGTCATTTCATTCTGAATGCTTTCTATAACTGTAGCCTCCTTTATCACTGCCACATGTTACATCTCTCGCAAAACCAGGAGGCAACCGTTAAAAACAACAGCTTATCCTTTAGATATTTCTCCTTACCTCAACATCCATGAAATATTTACTTAAAATATACCTACCTCAGTGCAAAAAGATTTACATTTATTTGCATTACTTAGACATACATTAAAGTATACTGATGGCATTAAAAAATAAAGAAAATCATGTAATACCTTTACTTTTACCTATGGATTTGGTGAAATGGTTCCATGAAGAAAGCATTTCCAGACAAAAAGAGAATAAGAAGAGGAGAGAAACAACAGTAAGACTTGTGAGTTATATGTAAATGCACTAATATTTAAACATGAAAAGGGACAAAGTTTAAGGTCTGAAGACAAATGGAGATGCAATCAATGTCATATTACAGATTTAGTTTATTTTTTTTTCCAGTCATGTACATGCAGCGAAACACAGAAATAACCCATGCTTAGATAAGAAAAAGTGACAGAAAAGTAACAGGGAACTATGAGTTAGGAGAAGAAAAGCCACTGATTTCTTTAGGTGGCAAAATTGTACTCTCAGCATTCCAGAAGCCAGGAGCAGGTGCTTTCTGCAAATTCCACTCAGCCATGCATTAAGGTAAATGCACTCTTCAAGGCGTACAGTGTGACAAGCTCAGTATCTTCTCCCAGGAACTCCGAAGAGCGCTCTTGCGATTCATTTATCTTTTATAGAATCACCCGTTATTGTATTTTCGGATAAATACATGACATTTTCTTAAACACCTTCTTATTTCTCTCACCTCTTTTCAGTTATCATATTGCGAGAGGGGGAGTTCAGGAGGCAGGAAGGACAAAAGCTTACAGAGCAAACAAAAGAAAAAAAAATGAAATAAGGAAAGATGTGACTAAAACCATGTGTTTATTTGCAGCCAAAGACAGCTTTCAAGCATTTGCCCATCGTTTGCAGTGATGGATTTAAAGCAGCTACAGAACAAGAAGAAACAATGAAAGCAGAGTGGAAAAGGAACAGAGCCCATACCTTGGTCGCCCATCATCAGGTGCGCCAGACCTTGAAGGGAAACAAGAGCACAGTCAGCAATGAACAAGGGAGCATGGGAAGGTGGTGTTGTCACAGTGACAAAAATGTTTTGTGACAGGCATCTGTTTCCTATGAGATGTCTGTACCACAGACAGAAATCAAAGAGCATTTTTCAGCCACTGGTTGGAATGCTTTGGGCTATGAGAAATAGAACTGCAATTCAAACACTGGGTACTGTTTTGCTGTGTATTTCTTCTGTGCAATAGTTGGGATGGGAGAAAATACTAGAATGCTTCCAGATCCAACCAAATCCTTTAATAATCTGTCTTTATTGTATTTTCATGATATTGCTTTGAATACTTTGCTAGGAGGAGGGCTTCCCGTCCTCTACTTACAAAAGGTTAAAAACCTGGAAAGTGTAAACCTGAAAAATGGGCTGGGTCTGGTCTTTTTCCCCTCATAAAAAAATGAGCATTTCAGGTAATTAAAACAAAATTTATTTATCACATTGAAATGATAATGCAAGGGATGTCTCCTTATTTGTGTGAAATGTGAGAGTAGAATGAATACATTCCAGAGGAAGCAAATTACTATATATGCAGTACAAAACACAGAGCAAAGAAAATTTCAGAAAATTTAAGTGACAACTTCTGAATTTGCTTCATAAATCTGGGAGAAATACATTTTGCTTTATATTGGTAGTTTGAGATCAAATCCAATCATACCACTATAGATCTAGTGACATTTCAAAACAGATGGCCGTAATGATAATCACTCAACCAGAGCCAAATTTAGTTAATCTTTAACCAAAAATATTCATCTTTTTTAACACAAAATAATGAAATGATACTTATATCCTCACTGAGAATAACATGGTGAAGGAAGAAATTTTGTACAAAAAAAAAGACTTTCCACATTTCACATCAGGTTTATTCTCATTGAGCTTAAATCGTTTAGAATTCATTTTAAAAGTTCTTAATTGCTTGTGCTTATCTTCTCCATCAACTGTAAAAATGATACATTATTTTCTTATTTGCAATTAGTTATAGTTAATTCACACAAAGAAGGTGTGCAATAAAATATCCTACTCCTTATTGGAAAGCAGATTTCCTAGAGAGCTCCTGTGATTTCTACTTCACAAAGAAAATTAGGTGCACAAATGACTCATCGTACTTGGGGGTATTTCAAAGAAGATACTCCCAACTGCAATCAGATTTCACATCAGTTCAAGATCTCAAGTGATGTTTCAAATAGGCTAACAAAGGTTTTGCTGAATGAGTGCTTTTTAGCATCACCATTCCCGAAGGCAATGTGCCCCATATCTTGAGCAGTAGATTCATTTAAAATTACAGTGCTCTGTAACTACTGGGAGGATCCAAGGTTCACACCAATGTATGCACGAGCTGAATGTGATACTGAAGGGATGCCTATGTAAGCATGACTGGTAAGTACCTCACGGCTATGCTGCAGTTAGGAGAAATATTCCTAAATGTTGTTCTTGCTGTATTAGCTTAGCTGCAACTGAGACACACTGAAAACACAAACTGTAAAGACTGTTGTGACTCCTAGTGGAAAAATAGAAGGTAATCTCTTCCTAGCTTGACTTTTATAGTTATAAGGACCTAAATAAAAAGCTGAGCTTCAGGAGATGACCACTGCTTGATATCTACTAGTTTTAGTAATACCGCATGTGAGCGTGGTCGGTTGTAAACTTGTGATTTTTATATAATTTGAAAAAAAAAAAAAAAAAAACACAATGGCAGAAAAGCCACTTGAAAACATCATAGAAACCACTTGAATTTTAAGAGTCACTTACAGTGCTGTTCAACTAAAAATAGGAAGCCAGTGACTGTAAAAAAACGCACTGCTCAAACCAAACAGCCATCAATTAAAAAAAGGTAGTACTAGTTCTCAGGCACTGCATTTTGCTTCACTTGTATGCTACTTATTTTTGAAGCAGTAATCTTACTTATACTTACTTGCTATGAGTATATAATGTTACTTACCTCATTTTATATTTTTCAATCTATGGATGAAGACTGTGGAAGAGTGAAGAATTGCTGTTACTGTACCTGTTTACTCCGTAGAGGGGTTTAAAATGATACAAATAAACCCACCATGACAGCAATCACTGCGAGATTTTCAACATGACTGTGTGCTTATAATTGAGACAACCACAGTAGATGGTCAGAGAAAGATCTAGTTTTGACAGGCCACATATAGGTATGCCAAACATTAATAATATTCATTTGTGCACCATTCCTTCATAATCAGAATGATAAAAGCCTTTTCTTTGTGAATTAGAAATTAAAGATTCAGTAGGAATACCTCCTGTATGCATGTGTGATCCATTTCATATTTATACTGAACTTGGCACGAAAGTCGAGGGGCACAAAATGGGATAAGGGAAAATAGCATGAAGAGAGGCTATTTTCATAACCTTGTGTGTAAGTTCCATGCAGAGCACAGGCCAAAGAAAATTTTAAACATGGTGAACTTGCAGTGAACATGTTCAACCCTAGCACAATTTTAACAAAATGAGTACAATGTAACCTTTTTACACAATCAAATTCCACTTCATGAATACTAAAATCCTTTCCTTTCTTTTCTTTAATTTAAGGAAATATTCAGATATCACAGAATTCAAAGATGAAAAACTATTGCTCAGTTTCCCAGTTCTGATTAGGATATACGTTCCATGCTTCCACTCTTTAGATATACATCTTTTGCAAATCTAATGTATGCATATGTATCCAGACTTGTGTTGGAATAAATGTAAGTGTGCAATTTTAAGAATTAGATTCAGGCAACTCCTGGATTAAGTGTTACCCAGGTCTTATCTTGCACTGCTGTGCATAAATGAGTATGTGAAATGAAACTGAACCACCTCATCTAGTTGTAATGATCTTAATTCACAATCGAACCTCATGTTGACACCAGTGAGAATTTCATGCATAGGTCAAACATAATATTAGTTACCTATTTCTTGCCTTTCGTGCTTCTGAGTTATAAATCCTATCCCTGTGTTGTTGAATAAATTTCTATTTCACAATGAAAACAGAGTTGTTCTGATTTGTATGTTCTTGACATTGCATGCAATTAAAGCATCAAAATAACCTAAACCTTCTCTTACTGGTAACATGTATTTTTAATAAAGTTGCACAGCATCATGTATGTGCTAAATCTGAATATCTCACTTTGCCTTTCAGTATAGTGGCATAGGGGAACATGGTACTGATATTGGCAGGCATTTTAAGAGAGTTGCCAGTGAGCAGTGGTTCCGATTGCCTTCAATCCTTAATAACCTCAGGCCCAATGGTGTCTGTCTCCTGCACTCTGGGTCACAGCAGTGTCAGGGCAGTCTCACTGCACATATGTCAGCTTACAAAATCCTATATTTCAAGAAAGTGTTTAAACTACTGGGAAAAAAAAGTTATAATTCCATTTTAAAAGGTAAAATCATTTTTAAATAGCAATTTATTAAATATGAAAAGATTAAGAAAGGATTTTTAAAGCTCTTGTACTTTAAAAAGCACCTGCACCCTTTGGCTCATGAACAAAAGGGCAGTACTGACTCCTAACAAAAACTGATCTGTGAAGTGTAAAACTCACTCAAACATGTTTTGCCAGCTAATGGACATACTTACCAACATTCAGGCTAGGAAGCATTGTGTTTTAATTTTCACTGCCCTGTGACACATTTTCCTTAATGGGTCTTAATTACATACCAGCATTATTACTAAAATCACAACTCTTCTTTCACAAAGTCCAAAAGGCAGAGTTTATCATGTTGAAAAGTTAGACAGATAAAGCTTTTATCTAAAACTTTGTGCTGTAAAGGAGAGTACAGTAAGCAAGACTAAGGAGAAAAGCGCTTTCCATTTTCCTAAGCAACCAAAATACAGGTATTTAACATGCATTCCATTCTTATGAGAAGGATTTATGCTCCATGTTGAAGAAAAAATATTTTCTTGAAGTGTTTTTCATACAGAACGTGAATAGAAATCAGTCTTTCTGCAGATCTCTTGAAGGATGTATAGAGTGATATATTCATATTGTTTTAGTGAAGTTATTCAGGAATTACATCAATATAGTCAAGATTAACATAGGGCTTTGCTTGTGTTCTGTATGGAAAAAGAAATCACACTTATTTAATAAACTTGTATACCTTTACAGGTAAAAAAAAATGCAACTTACCGTACTGAATGTTATGTGTACTTTTATAACATTAAGCAGAAGGGAAAAAACCACTAAACAAAGGGGTAAAACAAGAGCTTAGGAAAATAAGGTAAGAAAGCACCCACCTTCCACATAGTTGTCTTCTGTAAGCACATAACAGGGAAGGAGAGAAAAGGAAAACATTCATTAAGCAGCATGCAGACTGGAACTTGCCTTTGCATGTCTTTATCATGCAAGGCATCAAACACAACATGCAAGTGCTCCATTGCTACAGTCCAGAGTGAAAAACAAAAGCACCAGGGAAGCAGTGTTTCCCCTCTTTAACAAATAAAAGAATGTTCTTTACGAAGTGCCATAATTTTAAAGGAATTACTGCAACTCCTTGCAAGTTCAGTAATTATTATTCATAAGTCAATATATCTTCTTGTAAGAGTTTTTTATCTATATATTCTAAAACCATCACTTATTTCTGATGGGGAATCTAAGTTCATTTGCTTCTACTTTCCCATTCTGAATTTTCTTTAATGATCTGTATGAAGTAGACTACTTTAAACAGATCAAACAAGATAACTTAAGCTACGGAATGCAACGTGAAGATGTTAAAGCAAGTATTGTGGCCATCCTTGCACTACTAAGGCACTCATTCTAGTCAAATCTCAGAACCCAGTGTGCAACGTCTGTCAGTTAAACTGGGTGGCCTTATTCAGGATTGTGTGTAGGATCATATCTCCCAACAATTGTTAGCACCAGAATCTTGTACATCTTAAAAATCATTTATATCTCAGCCAGTTGCATAACTAGCAAAGGCCACAGCAATCTCATGCATCAGTTTTGCCCTCAGTTAAGGTAAA